TATTATGAAAACAGTCTCCCAAAATATTTCAATGCAAGTGAGACCAATTTGATGAAATGTGACTGTGGCACCCGGATTCATATTCAGCTTGAGATATGCTACTCGCTTAGGTTTTACTTTTCGATTTGCCAATAGTTCAATTTATAGATGCGCTCTTCAGCAATATATATTCCAATCCAATCCTAAGCAACGCCAATATAAATGAGCTTCATAGGTAGACAGACAACAAGGTGGACATTGCACAAAGCGAGTATACCCTTTTCACTCTATGAACGAGTATATAAAGATAAATGCTTAGGCTGTAGGTGTTTGTCTCCGGCCAAATCAAATATCAATTACATTTACATCGTATGTACACATCCCAAAAGCCAATTGGCAGCACTTTAAAGTAGAGTCGACTCGCTCAACACAATCTATTTGGATCGCCAATTGCAATATTTTGCTGGATTGTGTAATGCCATGCAGTCAGGTACGACCGACCACCTGCTGGCTTTATGCGATATCCGAAACTGTTCAATTAGCGCTCAATATCGGCAAGCAATAACTCAAAATTTGACAACTTTCAAAAATATGAACTCACATTGCCGGGCTGCACTTGCACAAATCTAAATATGCGATTTATAATTAACATTTCATAAATTCGCAATCATGATAAGAAAAGTTTTCCATTAAGAATCAATTAAAATGCAAAAATCGATCAAAATGTGCTCGCTCCACTGTTGCTCTGGCTTTTGGCTTTAATGCCCGACTGACTAAGATGAAGTTATCGTGATTGAACCACTTTTCACGCAAGATAAAGTCCGAAGCGTGGCAATGAAAATGAGTTTTTATTGAAATAACATAATTTGCATGAAAATTCCAATAAATTGACAGATGATTATTGATATAATTTGTGACTGACAAAGATTATATACCCTTCCTTCTCTATGTACTTGGTTGGAACTTAATGAGTCAATTAATAGGACTTAAAAGTTTTGAACTCAAGTTCCGAAGGAGCATTATATAAATTAATTATTATCATTTTTGTTAAAATGATCATTATATCAAATACTTATACTTATTTTTACTTTTATTGTTTTATTTATATTTTTATTTTTTATATTTTATTATTGTAATTATCTAAGGCCTTCTTCTACCATAAGCCTAAAATTCAAGCTCAGACCTAAATCTGAATTTCTTGAAATTTTTATTAAAACAACATTTTCTTTAGATGCCTACACATTACATGACGAATTCAGCCAACCTTTTGGCAGGGTATAAAGTATGAATATTGAGAGCAGAAATAAATATGTACGTACATTAATATAAATATAGAAGTGGAGCGATTTAATCACGTGCAGTGTTAATGAATTCAATTGAATTTTGCGCTATCGCCAGACAAACAGAACCGAACAAACCTCCACAGACCCACACAGACCCAGTGCCAGTTCCAGTTTTGCAGTTGTCCAGCGCCCAGTGGGCAGCCCCTGTTGCTCTGTAGGCTTTGCGCTTTTTGATCTCCTTGCGATTGTCTCTTTTGGAGTGGTTGGTCCAGCGCGTTCCGACCTAGCGCCACAGCAAAGCTAAGTTGATCAAGTCAGAGTACTGTAGTCGGGCTTGGCCGACTACAAGATAGCCTATACCAAGTGCCGAGATTCCCTAACAATATACACAAAACTCGGTGCACCTACTGCCGTGATAATGCCCTTTCTTCCATTAGCCCCAACCTATGAAGTATGCGTTTCTTATTACTATGGTATTTATAGCCACATCCTTATAAATTTTAAAAGTGTGTGCATACCATTCAGAGGAAATGGGGAATGTATTTATTCTAAAATGAAATATTCTATATTTGATTATACTATTCGAGAATGTTGATGATATTCAAAAGTCATTCATTGTGGAGACATGGGGAGATATTGATAGTTTGAAATAATATTGATTTGCGCGTGCCGTTAAATGAACTCACATTCCGAACTCAAATCCACTTCCTCGGCGCGTTTAAACAACACGGCCATGGCTAGATCGACTTTATGATGAAGATCGAGAATATTTAATTATTGAATTGGAGAATCCTGCTTCTGTATATTACATAAATTTTCATTCGACACTTCTTCAACGATACCTTACCGCAGATGAATTGCTCATAACACATAGCAGATTTGTAATTTGTGACAAAAAAATATATATACATTTTTTGGTAGCAAAGTCTCGTCACACATTTGGTGACAAAACTTAAATACCCTCTGCCTGGGTAATAAAATACAAATTTAATAAAAGTTATGCACTTGCCAACAACTGTGGACAGAAATTTGCATAGACGTACGACTCTATTTTGTATGTTTTTATTTTTGTAATTGTTTAATCGCAGTTTGGTCATCTATGTGGGCTAGCAACCCAGGCGAACGATAGAGCGTGCAGCTTGGAATTTGGATGAAATTGCATAGAATTGAAGATTTAGAGCTTGTGGAAATGAATATTAGCTACAGAAATAGGCACGTCTAACACCATAAAGAGTACGATATTCTTAATAAGGACGACGAGTTGAGTCGATCTAGCCATACCCACTGGTCCGCCTGTATCAAGACTCAAGACTCTATTCATGATCTCTGATTGGTTAAAAATTCATATATTTATTATATTTTTTTATAGTACGTATATTCATAAATAAGGGGTAGACCCCGACCGAGTTATGGGTGGTGGTAAGTTTTAACTTATAGTTATAGGATATTTGAGACTAAAATAAATAGATATTTGTTGATATAAATAACAAATAACATATGTTGTGAAGAGCACTTCCTAGTCGGATACTTTTATGTCTTCTATTTCACTTTCAAGTAGAGCTCATACTAATATTTGCAAGAGTGTCGCCATCTGGCGCTTAAAGTACGCAACTGGCAAGGATGCGCGGTTCATGACTTTGCTATGCAGCAAGGACAACGCTACTTGAAGCTTTTCTGTTATACAAGACTGATAAAAAAAATACTGTTATATATCTTAAAAGTCAAAATGTTATCTCGACTACTCGAACACTGTCTTTCTAATGTAATTCAAGCAAAAGGCGAATAACGATATTAATATAAGTTATTATAACCAATTTTTTATTTTTTTCATATATATATTATTTTAATATTTTTTTGAGTTTCCACAAAAGCTCAGTGTTAGAAAAATCCAAAAAATATAAATAAAAATACAAATGGATTGGATTTGTAGTTTTCTTATGCTTGTAAGAAATGTAAAGTATTTAATTCAGAGAAATTCCATTTGATTTATAAACGAGTGTTTCGGCGTACTAAAAGCTTCAAAAATGTTAATGTAATATCTTTAAATACACAGTCTGATCTATCGCCCAACATCACCGACCACATGTTGGTGTGGTTGGGCTGGCCTAATGCATTTTCGACTTCTTTGACTGTGAGGAGGAGAAAAAAACAACAAACTGAGCAACGCCCGCATTCCAATGAAAGCGCCAGCAGCTGCACGAAGAGCAAAATCAACAACAACAACAACAACAGCAAACACAGCCAACATGCAGGCACACACAAGTCAAAGAAATTTGCTGTTAATTCACGTATTAACCTCTTGACATTTGGCAGCAGCGTCGCCAGCCGAAGAAAAACATGTCGACAAACTTGCAACATGGTGGCATTAAAGGGGGCGCGGAGCAGGGACGGGTGGGCGACGAGCGGCACATCTGCCCGGTCGCTGTGACGCTGAATAGAAACTGTGTCAATGTGCCAACAACAAATGTTTGGGCGTTGTGGATGTGGATGATGTTGGTGGCATGTGGGAGGGCCCGCAGCGATATTGGCGTTGGAGCTGAAGCGTTGCCTTTGGAGTTGGAGCCACGCCAAATGGAAAACTGTGCGCCGCGTGTGTCTATGTGTCTATGAGTACGTGCGCCTCAATGACTTTCAATTAAATCAATATTCATCGTTTTGGCTGCCTCGGGGTCTAAATGGCAACGGGCGGCCCCGGCCAGGCACAAGCTGGGACAGAGGCTGAGGCTGTGGCTGAGGCAGTTGCTGCAGCGACTCCGCTCCTTGATTAGACGCGACGCGGCCACGACAACAGCAACAATAACAGCAACAACAACAGCAACAACAAACAGTTAACAGCTAACATCAATGGCTAACAGCAAAAGCAACAGCAGCAGCAGCAGCATGGGAAAATGTGCAATTTTGGCCAAAAATAAATAGCAAAAGCTTGAGGAGACCAAGCGAATGAGATACCTGAGTGGCCTGACCGAGCCTGGGCACATTCATTGCGCAAATTTTGTGGACTGTCTGTGCAGCCAGTCTGCAATCAAAGATACACCACCAAATAAACATTTGAATCACTTGCCCGAGCCTTTCACAAAAACAACATCAAGCATAAACAAAAACAACCACAGCACAGAAGTTGGCTTAGACGAGAGCCGCGCGCGAGCAAATAATTAATGTTTGCCAATAACCGAAGACACTTCCAGCGCTCGCAACTGCCAGTTACTGATCCCCAGCCCGCCAGCAGACCAGCTCGCCCGGTGTCGAAGCCAACTCAACAAGTGTGCCCGCTGGTAATGCAAATGAGGCGTTTGTAATTGTTAGCTGCAGTTGGAGGATTAGGGTGAAGGCAGAGAGAGTGAGAGAGGGAGAGAACAGTACGGCTTTTAGGAGTCAGTTCCTACAAATATTAGAAGACGCAGGAAAGAACGGCACGCCGAAGAATAGACACTCTTTTAGAATTATCATCATCATATATACACATATCATATAGCTGCCATAGTAATGAAAGGTCGAAAAACTGAAGAAGAAGAAGTGCTTATTATATGGTGAAATTGTGGTAAACTGTGTTTTATGTTGTCTATTGCCACAATTACCACAGCTTGGCCAGTAAGATTTAAAATATAGTTAGACAAAATGCATTTTTTTTTATAATTTTAAAAAGTTTCACTAAGAAAACCCTTTTCACGAGCAGAAGATTTTAAGATTTTCTATAAACATAACTATCTCAACGCCCCAATATTACACTCCTCCTGTTGATCAGGAATTGGAGCCCAGCCAACGCTCATAGATAAAGCATGCAGTGGATAACAATATGCCACATAGCCAAACTCCAGCTGCCGCATAGTAGTACTCCAGATCATTGGAATTCACTTCCTGGTATCTGGCACGGTTTACAAAGCGCAAACGTCCGCTCTGAATCCCATGGGCAAACCCATCGCTTTTCATCTTGAGCAAGATTCCGCCCTCGAACATGCGCCGCACATACCAATTGAAGATCTTTAGGTAGGGGCGCCCATAGGCCGCGGGCATGAAGAAGGGCTGCTGGTAGATGATCTTCGGTAGCTTGTGGAATAATGGAACGCGTAAAAACTTTTGCTGGTACAGTGCAAACTCAATGCTATCTTCAAAACCGTTGTGCAGCATGCTGGTGTTCAGTTCGAGTCGATATTTATCCACCAGCTGCTCCGGTGTGACTACCAGACGTTTGACAAGCTGCGGATGCAGATCGGGCAGCTTGTGTAAAAAGTTCAATTCGACTTCCTCTTGCGGCAACTCGTAATCCGTGTCCTTCAAGTCGTCGAAGGTGTTCAGCTGCCTTTCATAGAGGCCCGCCGCCAAATTGCTGGATAGCTGCGCCAGGTAAAGATTGGTTAGCATTAACCCAGCTACTGTCATTATAATGTAAAGCAGCAGGCGACGTGGCGCAGGTGGAGCAATCAGATCTCTGCCAGGTGGCAGAAAGAGCGATAAGCGCAAAATTTCCAGAAAGGCGCCACTCAACGTGCTGCCTCCCTGAGAGAGCAGAAATGATGCAGCACTACAGTAGCTCAACATGGCCACACATGCCAGCCAGGTGACCCAGCTGTAAGGCTTCAGCAGATACATATACCTGGGCAACAGCTTAGCTGATGGTGCCATTAGAAAACTGTTCTCATGCCAGAGGACAACACTGCCCGTGAAATTCGGTGTCTCTGCCAGCAGATACGGTAAAAAGTCGACGATACGAGTGCTAAGCGCTTCATTAGCTTCCTTCAAGGTATCCAGCGTGCGAGTTCGTATGCTGCCCTTGTAGTGGCCAATAAAGTCCAGTACCATACGCAGCATATAACCAGCATATATAACACGTTTTCGATGGTCTCTAAAAAGAAAGGCCCTCGGTGCGCCGCTCGGAAGAATGCCACAAGTTATCTTAAACCCATGAAAATCCCAAAGCAAGCCACGCGTGCGATGAAAATACTGTAGCGTGGTTTCCATCTCCAGCAGTCGTAGTTTCGGATACGGCATATAGCTATACAGCTCCTGAGTGCGCGGCAAGACCACCAGAATGTGCACCATTCCCTGACGCCAGCAATGCGCAAAGAGCTGAAACAACTTACCCGGCGTGGCCGCCGGATAAATGATGAGCACCTGCAGTTGCTGAGCACGCCACAGCCAGGTGGTGAGATAGTTAACCATGCTAAAAGCATGCGCGTCCTCTAGAAATATGATGGTCAGAGCACGTTCACTAAAGTTGCCATTAAGCACAAGCTGCAGCGTCGCATTGCTAATCCGAAGTGTTGGTATGGCAGGTTCTCTAGTTGGCATCAGATTATCAAAAAGCGACTTGTTTCCAAACTCGACGTACACATTAAGTTCCATGTCGTACAAAGCGTTGAGCTGATCAATGCACTGGCCGACAAAGCTGCCCGGCAGCAACGTTAGATTCTGTAGCGTGTTCAGGTAAAGTAAGTCCATTGGAGCTCTTTGGGTCACCAAAAAGTTGGCGTGCTGCTTTTATAGATATAGCTAAGGGCAGGCCCTATCATTAGGACTACAATGTATTCCACTTACAGCACGTTTATTGAAATGTGTTAAGTGTATATTTAACCGTACAATTGAAATTGCTTAGTCATGTGCCCACGAAACCGCTCCAGCATGAAGCAGAGCATTGACAATACCAAACCCACAGCCCACAAGATATATGCATAGTAATAAAATTCCAAATCGTATGGTTTTAGCTCATCCTCCTCACCACGCATAAGCTTGGTGATGCCACCTTCGATTGTTTCCTGCCATGCATCGCTCTTCATCTTGGCCAATATGCCACACTCAAAAATACGTCTGAGATAGATATTCAGCATGTTAAGGTAGGGCAAGCCGGTGACCACTGGGACGGACATGAAACCATCAATGAAACTCTGTGTTGTCAGCTTGAAGAGCGGTACTTTCAGCAGGCGCTGTTGATAAAGAATGCCATCCAGGCGATCGATATAACCAATATACATGTAACTTGTGTTTAGAGCAATTCGAGAAGCATCCACAACGCTGACGTCAACAACGATAATGCGCCTTTTAACTGCATCTGGCATGGACTGCGCCTTTTTAAAGGTCTCGGCATAGGAATTTTCTAGCAGCAGTGGATAGGGGGCGCGTACGAGATCCTCGAAAGTATTGAACTGCGGTTCAAACAGACCCGATGTCAGCATGCTCGAAAGCAATGCCAGATAAAAGTTCGTCAATATAAAGCCAGTCAGCATCATCATGAAGTGGATCGTAACCTGTTGCCAGTTGGAAAAGCTGATCACCGGCTGTGGGATAAACAACAGATGGCACCAGCTGCTCAGAAAATGCTTGCCTATTTCGGAGACACCATTTCCATTGCTGCTGCTATAAAGCATTAGCATCCCGTATCCAATTGTTCCAGCTACTGCGAGCCACACAGTCCAAGTGAAAGGGCGAGCAAAATACAAATATCTAGCAAGGGGCCGGGCATGTGGCACTGCAATATAATATTTGAGAAGATAGAGTGGCGCAGTGCTAGTTTGTTTCACGTGAAGGTCTTTCGGATAACAAATAAAATCCATGGTTCTACTTGCAAACAAAGCAATGGCAGTAATTTGTAAACGCTCCTTGGGAACCTCATCCAAGATCCGGATCGTAGCATTGTGGCGTCGACTGAACTCCTTAAAGGCGTTATACATATACCCGGCATAGACCAAGTGACCCTGACGATTCACATACGAAAAAATGCGTGGCTCAATTGAAAATAAAATTGTACGAATTGGGTATTTTTGAAGATTTAATAGCTGCCGCCATCTGTTGAGGTAATCTTCCAGCTGCGTCAATCGCAGGATTCGAATTGATGGATACGGATTGTAGCTATAAAACAACACTTTCCGGTGGAGTTGTTGAATGAGTAGCACATTGATAAAACCTTCTCGAAAGCAGTACAAATAGAGCTCCTCTTGCCAGATGTTTGGCTCCTTCGACGTTATGAAAACAATGTGAAGCTCATGGAGTTGTCACAAAAGGCGTGGCAGAAGAGCAGCCACTGGAGCATCAAGTGGAGGGCTTTGTATGTAAGCTACGATTAATGTTTTTTCGGTAAACCTTCCAAACACACGATAATCATTAGAGCAGTTCTCTGATAGCTGAATTTGGATTCTAGGCGTATCCAGAAACTGTAGATCCAACATAACCTGAGAGCTATTCTTCATGTTGATAAAAATGTTTAATCCGATTTTGTAGACACCATTGAGTTGTTGCAAGACTTGCAACAGTCCAGTTGATTGAGTTGGTTGTGAGTTAACAGCGTTGACTCCACTCGTTTGAAGAGCAATCAACATCAGAGGCAGCGACATTAATATAATAGATATATGCAACCAAAATAACATTTTTGGCCTTATTCAATTAAACCTAAGTCCGTCAAGGCTTAATTTCTGGAATAGTCAACGCTCTATGCACGACCAAAGGAGACTATGCGGTTCTGGGAGCAGCTAGTTCACTTTTTATACTTCTGACTGATTCTTATCAGCCTTAGCGGCAATTACATATTGCGCCAAGTGTACGCTTACATCCAAGTTCAAGTTATGCGCAGTTACTTCCAAGCCAAATCAGCTTGGTCTTATCGCCCATCGACCAAATGGTCGTTTGACCACATAATTGTTTGCTGGGCCTGGGGCTATTTGTTCCAAATTGACCAAGTGGTTATCTATTTATATAAGAATGTTGGTCTTGACTGACTGATTGTTAATCACGCCATGAAAGCTTGGAAGCTTAAAACTCACTTTTAAAATATGCATTTGAAACGTCTTTTGCGCTGATCACAAAATGTTCGTCCACTTTCAAAGAATTTAATTATAAAACAGCGAATACAATTTTAAGTGATTTGTGAACTTATAAAAAAAATGTTCGAATTTTTTGAAGATTTGTAAGCTTTATTTTGGCCACGGGCCGTGCTTTAGCTGCAGCGGCAATGTTTGAAACTCGTTAGCCCACAACAGCAACAACAGCAACGATTGAAAACAATTTAAAATTGAAATCGCTCATAAATTCTGTCACTAATTGTAAAGAATGGGAGACCTTGAATTCAAATCAACGGCTCAGTCAGCAGTCAGCCAATGGCTACTGCTAGGCAAATGTCTTGAAAAATTATGAAGCTACACAAATCTACAAAAACCAGCAATAGTCACAGCAACGACAACAGCAGCAGCAGCAGCATTTGCAGCAACAACAAGAGTATGCGATATCCATTGTGTTTGAAAATAATGATAAATAAATATAAATTTCAAAGGCAAACATAAAGAGCTATTGACTGTTGACTTTTATGAACAATTAGGCGGCAGCCACTTAAAGAGGCGAATATATTGAGATACAGATACGCAGATACAAATACATAGATACAGAGTGCAGGCATATAAGGCATACAAGTGTAGCGCTCACATGGTTAATGGGCCTCTCTATGGGTTCTCTATGGGCCTGGCCAACAATAAACTGCAATTGATTAGATCGACAACTGCAGCACGCAACTGCAAACAGCCAACGGGGTGTGGGGGGAGGCGGGTCGAGGGCGTTGCAAACTTGTGTGCCTTTGGACTTCAATTAATGCATTCAAAGCATTTATGCAAATGGCGGGAAATAATTTATCACCCATTCAAGACGCAACAGCAACTGCAACCGCAACAATTGCAATAGCTGCAATAGCAACAGCAGCAGCAACAACAGCGGCAGCAACAACAACAATCAAACCTTCTATGCAAGCATTGCAATATGCAAAAGTTTTGTTCATTAGCGCAACGCCCACGCAGTTAACATTCAGTGGGCGTGGCCACAATCCGCACACGTTCTCTCAGAGTGTTTTTATTTTCATTCTCGATTTTATTTTGGAGGCGGCATCGTTTGATATGCTTTGCCTCAGCTGTCGATTTGATTTTGTTATTGTTGCATTTTATATAATTAGTACTTAATTTATCATTTTTTGTGCCGCACTCAATTGCTTGGGTTGTTGTTGTTGAGAAATCGGCGCAAGGTTAGGAGATTAGAGATTTAAAGGCTGTTGTGGGCTGCGCTAGATTGGTTTAACTTATTGCAATGTGGGTAGGGCTATTTCACGACATGGCTCTGATATATATTACATATTTCTCAGTGATGATCGGGTTCTGTTTGGAGACCCAAAAGAACAAACTCATGATATTATTAACCAATTCCCTTCACCATCATAATAAAGTTTTAGTGTTCCACTTTCGATCGGTTTATGTTTAAAAGGTAATTTCTCTATCACTCCTTCTTCGTTCTTGTCAATCCGTTAGTAACGCCCACACAATTCGACACACTCTTTGTGTGCAGCGAAAGACAAAACCTGACCATAACATTAAAATAACAATCATCTACCAGTTACTTATCGCGTCACATCGTAGAGACCACCCTCTGCCGCTCCCAGTACCAGGCCAATCGTTACCCAACGATCTGTTTAAAGTCTAAGTATGCCCCAGAGCTACATTTGAGTTATTCGCAGTCAGAATTGAAACTGTAGCCGTAAAATCAATTTGCCAAAACGTCTACAACTTCATCACACAGTCAGTCCATTTAGTCATAGTCGCAGTCATGGACAGACAACGAGATCTAATCGGTATTTGGGCATCTGAGCTATTGAGGCCGCCTCATGCCAAATGCCGAAAAAAAGTCGGACTATCGACATCGGACAACCAACCGCCCCATCTGCTTACACCAACTTCAGCTGGCAACTCATAGCTGGAAGCGCTGGGCATAGGAAAATACATACTAATATTTCTTGTCTATATCAATTGACTTTTCGGGGCAACATAAATTATATAGCCGCGACCAGCAGACGGTGCCAAAGACAATAATTCGCAATCGATCGATCGATTGAGGGAGTGGAAGAGACAGTTGGGCTATGCAATTTTCGCCGCACAACTAATGCCTGAGATTTGGCTAAATGGGTCACAGCTACGAGCTGAGAATTGCAATTGCCAATGAGAAAGTTATCGGGCGCTGCTGCGGTCACTGCTCGCTGGTCAGTGGTCAGTGGTCGGTGGTCAGTGATAATGGGTTTATCGCCAGGCCGATGGGCAAGTTATTAGCGTGACCGGGGTTAATCAAAAAATTGCTGACCCTTGAGCACTTGCTGTTGCTGGGTGTATTGTATCGATGCTGGCCATAGACAAGCATATGCATTAAAAATTAATTGACTATCATAAAATTGTGGTTGCTGACCAAAAAAACCAAAAAAAAATTGCTTAATCAAAGAGTAGGTGAATGCTCGTATGTTTAAAGGCGTTGGCTGGCCGGCTTGAACTTTGCGCAAGCCAAGTTAATGGGCCATAAACATTGCTACGGTAAAAGTCAAGCGATTGTGCGCCTAATTTGTCGCTTGCCAGGCCAATCAGGCCGCCAGCAGCAACATGTTGCCGGCAACACAGCATAAACAAGTGCAGCGGCAACAGCAGCAGCAGCAACATACAAATCATGCGAGAGTGCGTATGTGTGTATGTATGTGTATTGGCTGTCAGTTGCTGACATTTGCAGTAGTCCAATATGTTTGACATTCATTGGCAAGCCGCATGTTGCCAAGTGACTGACATTTTGCCGCTTGCATAACAGGCAGCAACAGCATTCACAGCAGCAACATCATCAGCAGCAACAGCAACAGCAACATCTAACAAGCTGGTAAATCAAATTCCGTAAATCGACTGATTGCATTTCTTGTTATCGATAGCCAGATGCAAATATCGTTGGTAACATGATGCCGCAGCAAGTGTGTCAAAATATCATGGCTAACCGACTAAACGCCTTTTTAGTCATTTTTAATTTCAGCGCTTTTGTTTATGGCCCATGCACTTGGCCATAAAAACCACCATTCTTGTCAACAATTGTTGATTGATTGCCAACGAGTTGGTGGCATTTTCATGCAGGTGTTGCAGTGGAGTGTTGTTTTAATTTAATTTAATTTTCCATTTGTTTTTAGCTATTGTTTTGCATATAAAACTCAACTGCAATGGCGTACTAAAAATAACACTAAAGATAAAGTATGCTGCCGAATTGTAATAAATCAGTTAAACTTTTAGATTTGATACTAATTTAAGGCTTTAGTGTGGATTTAATGTAAGATACTGCTTTTGGAGAATTGGGAATAAAAATGTACAGACACTTTATGTTTAATCTTAAATATTAGACCTTAAGTTTCATTCAGTTTATCTCATTATATAGCCAATTATTGCAAATATTTATTCTATTCTATCATGTCACAGTTTGATAGCTACTGATATAGCACTTAAAAACAGCATCCCAACAAATTCATCATGGAAAGGGTATTGTGTATACGATGGCAATCGACTACAACATTTGAGCCAAAGTGCGGAACTTCAGTCAAAACATCACGTTTCGTTACAAAAAATTATTGCAAGTCCGGTTTTAATAAGGAAAATATGCAAGTTGATTATATTACCAAAAACAAATTGCATTTCGACACATTAACTTTACGTCTTTGGTCTTAAGGAAACAAAACTTTTCTCCTTGAATTCTATGCTATGTCATTTTGAAGCCCGTTTCCGTTTCCGTTTAAATGTAAATGTCAGGTGCTGTCATGCAACCAAAATTCCATCTTATCTTAAATGCTTTGTCACTTGACTTTTAGCGCGTAATTATCGCAAAAGCATTTTGTTAAGCGCGCCTACACCAGGAACAACATCAACGACAGCAACAGCAACTATTGCTAAGGTAACAAAAAGCGCTAAGGGGCCAAAAGCGGCTTTGTGGCTTGTGTTAATAACCATAAAAAGTCAATGCAGCTCTCGCAGCAAACCAAAACCAAAACTTAAACCAAAAACTAAAAACCGAAGAGAAAAAGTTGTGAAGCAAACGCAAACTAAGCCATAAAAATATGTTTAACACACCCTCTGACAAAGCTGTTAACAGCGTAAAATGCGTAGGATAAATCCGTAAAAAGTGTATTGCTGTGGTGGCATTTGGTGTTTTTGTTGCTGCTGTTGCTGCTGCGACAACTGACGACGAGTTGTTGGCAATTTTTCTTTTTAGCACTGGCGACAAACGACAATTAAAATGCAAACAAATTGAATGTGTGTTCGGGTGTGTGTGTGTGTGTGTGCTTGTGTGTATGCAGAGGGTTTGTCTAAGTGTTTTACGCCATAAAGTAGCGCACTTAACTTGGCCAGCAGCAACAGTTAGAGCAGCAGCAACA